TTAACTCCCATAAGAAATACATGGGGAGCAAATTTCGTTTACGTATAAACCGAGTAATACTATAGATAATTATATGCCGATGCTTGATGGCAAATCTGTGCGTGCATACCTTCAATTTGAGACCTCAATAATGAAAATCGGTCGGGTAGAAGAGCCAAACAAACTCGGAAAAGAAAACCCAAATTTTTTTAATATATGGCCATCCAAATAGGAGCAAATACTGTAACAACGTACATTATATAATAATTACTTTGAATGGGTCAAAAGTCAAAAACTGGCATTTTCAAAACTCCCTAATTTCAAATTTTCCAATTGGCCTGGAAATACAAACTCTGCTAGTACTAAATATATCTATTGTTACAACAATGAGCATGTTGGATTAGGATTATACTGCACCAAAAATTCGATCAAGTAATAATTTCCAAGATTTAAAAACCTTTATGGAGGTTTTTATTTTGTTTTGGTTTAATTGAATGTTCTGTTAAAAGTTACCTACCTTTTTAAACACACAAATAAAATATTAGGGTATTGTTTAATGTCCCCTAAAAAAGATTCCCCCTTTCATGATTCTGCGTAAAAAAAAACTATTGAAAAAGATCTTAAAATTTACAGAGTTTAAAGGAGTTTAGTACTTAAACCGCATGGATTTAAAATTAACAAACCAACAATAGCTTTGCATTAGCGGATGCTGCCAAAGTGTTAAGCTCGTTTAGGAGTCTATTTTGTCTTCAAATTACGTTTTACTTTTAGAACACATAACTCTTTCTACAACAAAGCTTGTATAAGCTTTTTAATTGTTTGCTTTCAGTCATTTGTCTCCTCTAATCCAGTTGGCCTGTTTTATTCTGCCTTTAGCTCGTTTAATTACAAAGTTATTTTGGTACATCTAATAGGTTATTGCTGTTGAAGTAGAAAGTGTTTGAGAATGTTTTTTACTGGTTAAATAACATTCTAACATGGCTAAATAACACTAGTCCATTACTTATTTTAACCATGTTTAATTAAGCACGAAGACAATTTTAAGTGAATGATAGTTCTAAAATGCAATTAATATTTAACATACCAATATATTTAAATTAATATACTAAATAGTAGCTTTACCTGTCCGTTGCAATGGGATGAGATGCCAATGAGGAAAATGTGGTTACTTAATCTCTACTGTACAAAACTGTTAGACAGCACCTACCCCATAATTGATTGAAAACTCAGTACAGTAGGCCTACAGTAGAACCTCAATTAACCGTGCACCCTTTTAACTGTCACTCTCACACCGCTACCAGTAGCCTACTTAGATTATTTATTATTTATTCTTTATTATTTATTATACAAACACTGAACACAACATACAAAACAACAGTTCTGTATTGCTCTTGTATGTAATTTGAATATAAATATGTATTATACAATTTTTCACGTGGTTTAATTTCTTCCAAAACCTTTTAAATCAACTCGCTGTTCTGGTTTCTAATAGGATTTCTGTTATCCATCTATTCGCTTAACCGTCACGCTCCTAGCCCTGAGGTCCCCCGAGGGTGACGGTAGAGGTTCTACTGTATTAACAGTTTGATAAAATTTTATTTTCCTTAACTAGTTAATAGGGTAAACCGAATTCATACGGTAACTTTAAAGATAGACAAAGTAAATATCAACAACGCAATTAAAATAAACATAAGAGGGTTTTCTTATCGCTGCAATGGAGAGAAACCAATATTTGCTCTTGAAAGTTCGACCATAGATATCTGACAGTCATTATCAAAGTTCTTGGTTGATATGAAAACAGGAATAAGCATGGTAATCCTGGTCACTTTGTGTCTTTGAGCTAAATCTCAACCATTATGGTCCAGTGGTTTTCCCACAATGGTTTGACAGTCACCTCATTTTTGTAATAATTTAGAATTTCTTTCAAACTGGTTGTTAAATGTATTTTTGTCAAATCATTTTTTTAAAAGTATAGTTACAAAAACTTAATATTTACCGAATAGTTTACTTTGAGACAGTTTACCGAATATTTAAAGTGGTGGAGTGTACAGCCTTGCTATCAAGCTTCCTATTATGTCTACCAATCAAATCGCACTAAAATGATATCCCCGGAGAGAAAACTTCCTTTGTGACATTGTTTGTTGTTTCATCTTGTGTAAGATATTTTTTAACATTGTATATTTCCGTGAGCTAAAGTTATCTGACCTGTTTTGGTGCTTCCTTACCAGGATATCAAAAACAGTGGTCGGAAGGTTATCTATATTGTTGCTGCTGTTTTAACCAAATTTATAAACAAATATTTATCATCGTGGAAGATCCCGTGGCACAAGTTGATAAACACATGTACCGAGTATTTTAATTTTTTTAAATGAAATGCACCGTAGGGAATTTTTTCATCGCTAAGGAAAGTTGTCTCCTTTGAAAATCTACCAGAGGGATGTACAGCAATCTATTGACATTTTAAAGTTATGAACCAAGTGCTAGTAAAGTGTAGGTATTTATTGGAATATTTGTACTCTTAAGCTGATGTTTATTGTTGATATTCATTAAGGATGAGCAAAACTTGTTTAAGGGATGAAATTAAAAACCTAACCAAACTTGCAGATTATGAAAAAATTTAATGAAGGTTCATTGATTGAATGATATTATAGTAACTCAGTTAAGAAACTCTAATCGGTCAACATCCTGTCCACTAAACCCTGTTACACCAATACCCCTCCCCGGAATTACTCTTACCGTTTGGGGAGTCTAAGTCAAACGGTACTCGGGCCTACCTTACTGTTTTGACGGTTAATGAACCGCACAGCGGCAAAAAATTCGACAGCACTCGCTCCGCTCCCTATTCGATCTTAAAAAAATATGTCTGTAGCTTTTTGATTGATCTTTCAAAACCAGATTCATCTTGTTTGGTTAAAACAATAATTTAATTCAACAGTCATCCTTTAATTATTTGTTCCTGTAAAATAAATATCCTGATGTATGAATGTACAATAATCCAACGTATTCTTCAATTTATGAAGTAATTAATATTTAATAATCCAAGTACTGTGCATAAGTTTACCTTATATAATTAGATTATTTATCAAAGTTCTTGGATCGTTTGAAGTCAGACAACCATAAGGTGTATATTAATAGCTATTTGTTCTAAAACTAGGAACACTACACCAAATCCTAGAAGGTAAGATGAGTTGTAAGATGAGGTGGGGTGGACAGTTGTGCCCTTGGGGGGGGGGGTTGACCCATTTTCACTCATCACTCAACCCCTCAACATACCCCCAACTATACCAACACCCTTAAAATGTTGAGAGCTACCACACAAATATAGCTAGTTTTTGTCTGAGATTTTAATTTAGGCAGGACAATTTTTCATGTCATGATATTTTTCCTTTGTCACATTAATAATCAGCTTGTTTTACTCTTAAAAAAAAACTTTCGCTGTAAAAAAATAAAGTAAAATATATCCGCTACTTTTGTCGAAAACATCAAGTTGATCAAGTACCTGAATAAATGTTTGTTGGAACTAAATCATCAATGAGGGATTTGGTAACAGTGCCTTGAATAGTATTGTTGTTAATCCTATTGATACACATCAATGTGTCCTATTGATGCATGGTTAGTTTAAATTCTCTTTTCACAGTTAATGAAATAAGAAAAAAAAAACTCTACTACACAAAAATAAATATAATACAGATACTTTTACATAATACTTTTGCATTAATACAGATTAGTACTCAATACATTTGATGAATGCATTATATCAATGTATGCTGTTAGTATACATTATGAACTGCCACAAGGAGTGGAGGCAATGAAACTGTCAGTCAGAGAGGCAATGGTGAGATAAAAGTTGACAAGCTGATGGGCCTGTTGACATACTGTGTGAGGGGAGTAGCCATAAAGTAGTGCTGACTTGTAGAAACAACTCAAATGACAATAATACGCATCTTTGTTGAGTGTCAACTTCGCTATGATCGGTTTTGTCATATAATAAACAATTGTATGCTTTTTGTTAGTATTTGATTTGTTTTATACCTAACTATTCATTTGACACTCATCCTAATTTAATCTTCCACATACAGTATGATGTGTGGTGTGATTGTCCATTGAACACTATCTAGATTACTATTGGGTGGATTACTTACCTTTTAATTGTAATGTATACAAATTTAAGTAAAATTGATAATAATTAGGTTGACCCTTAAAGGCATTAGGTTGTAGTTTACTTTCTCTAAATTTTTAATTCATTAAGATTTCAAAACGTTTTAGACAGAGCACTATACAATATACATAACTTTTTAGTCCTGGGCAAAATGACTATGTTGTAGAAGTTCAGTTATCTTTTATGGACAGAACATGGGCATAGCTGGAGGACATAGAACATATCTAAATAAAGAGTTATTTCCTCATAACTGCAGCAATACCAGACTTATTAGGGCTAATGATGGGTTTTTAGGTCTCCATGTTTTGCAAGGAAAACAATAGTTAGCAGTAACTGTGTTTAGAAATGACACGGAAGTGGCAAGCGGTTGTTTTCCTTTGCAATTCAATATGTGTATGAAATACTTACTCTGTGATTTTTCAGCAATTTTTATTGTGTGATTTACACTGTGTATTTACAGTATATTTTTATTTTATATAATGGGTGGTGTAGTGACATTTCCAGATCAAATGGATTTGAACCCGTACCCCCACTTTGACCACTACACCTTATCACCCACACCACCCGTTTTATCGCCTTTCAACCCTTCAGACTTCAGACCCAGAATCGGCCAAAGGTGAACCAACCCACCGTTGTCCCCTTTCATGTGTTGTCGTATGAAAAATTGACATCGATGAAAGCCAACAATCCCACAACGTAACAAAAGACCTCAGGAATAAATTAATATAGAGCCGGACGGTATCGACGCAGGGGGTAGAGTTGAGGTTGAGTGTAGAGGAAGTGAGTAGAAGAGGGTCGTGGAAGGGGGTAGGGGTGGCTCGATCGACCGTCAGTGCTACCAACCTCGGTCTGTGACGTTACAGCGCCGTCATGTTGGTAACAAAACTCCCGCGCTCGCGGTAGTCCAGTCCAGACGTAATTTGCTTGTGGTGGACATACGGGTTCGGTTCGGTGCATTTGGAAGGATTGTGTTCGGTAATTACATTGTATGTATATTTATTAAAAATCTCAATTGTGATCCATATTTCAAAAATTGTGGTTAAAGTAATTATATGTGACAATCCGTAAATTATTTCGAATTTTAAGAGATTTTAATTAATTTTTAATTTGGTCGAAACTTAAAATAAGTTTGTGGTTTTAATAATTTTATATGTATTTTAAATTTGTACTCCTTTTCTGACACTCGGTATTCAATACGTAATATTATACCCTTTTTTGGACAATTTATTTACAGTATTTTGTCTCTACCAAACATAAACATGTTCAGCCATTTTGGCCGTTCGAACACTGTGCTAGTTATTGTAGATGAAATATTACTATACTATCGTTCAATATTCGTCAAAAATATACGTATATAATAATTGTATATGACAGTTTGTACCAGAACGTTGTACGTTCCACAGTTTGTTTACGTCGCCAGCATGGAGGGGTCGGAGCGTGCCAGCCGCCCTTTTGTGAGCATCCCTTCGCCTCGCCCCACTTTTGGTTTTGACAAAAAAATGGTTCCTGGAATTCCTTTTGGACAACGAAGCTGAAACCTGTTTTTATTTAAACAGTCTAGACTCGGTTTTGTTGTTTTCCAACTAAAATTAGAAGTTTCTTCAAAGAACCTTCTCGCATAAACATGAATGCTGGGCCGCGATTGACGTTCTGTCGCAAATATATAGTTACCAATATTTTTACGTTATTTATTTAATTGTTTTACAACTGAAGAGTTTGATTTCCCCCCCCTTCAAATACATTTTAATTGTGATTAAAACATAAATAAAACGTGTTACATTCTCAAAATTGTTTGTATTCATGTCTTGAGTAAGATATGTTTCACATTTCAACCTTGCATTTCGAATTTCATTTTAACGTTATGTACTTCAGGTTTAAGCCTAATAAGCTCCATGATGACATTCAAAACTGTCACCGTCAATGGCGATTTTTATTTTATTTTTACGCAATTAATATCTTAAGCCAAAGTATCTGTTTCTTCAATGAAAAATTATATTAGCCGTACATTGAAAATAACTCAGTAAAAAAATTATATCGTTCAAAAATTTAGCTACTTAAAACCAGCTGTACGGTTGGAAAATTTTTCGAAACAAATGTAGGTACCACATACATTTTTACAATTAATTTGGCAGTTTTTATGTGTATCTAGGGTGTTATTTTCGGGGGAAAAATATATAGGCTAAGTAGTTTTGTAAAGAAGTGGCCATCAAAAAAATAAAGTTTAGGCCTATATTAATAACCCTGCCCTCGCATTATATCTAGTATGGCAGACTGTATGATTGAGGCCGTTACCAATGTCAAGGCTGAATTGTAGACAGACAGACTAGGTGACACATTTGTTGGATCAGCTACACTTGGATTCTTTTTACTTAGGGTTAGCTACTTGCTACAATAATGGGGTGGACAGATGTCTCACGATTTGTTTTTACTCGAGGCAACTCTTACTGCATGATTGCAAAAATCGCATTTTTTTATTGACCAGTTATTGTTAGATTCTGTTTACTATGTGCTTCATTTGAAATCCAAGAGAATATCTCATCATTATTTGATATCTTAGTTACTTTTTTGCCCTTCTATTGAGGTTCCTTATAAAATGTTTGCGAAAATAAACACATTGAACATGGTTTAAACCATATGATTCTTTTTACTTGGATTTACTTTCGGTATTAATTATCAAAATTACATTATTTGTAGTTTATGCACCTCACGATCTTAAGTTAGGACTGGTGTTCCAATAGGCTTATTGCGAAAATTGAATATATGTATTTGAATATAGACAAATAGAATTAAATATAGACCGACAGCAGTGCTGTGGTTAGCATAAGTTCTGGCGTCCACTGCTGGCAGAGCCGTGTAGTTACTTATCTCGTGCGCCGCAACTACACTTCGCTCACAGCGGTGGACGCTAGAATTTATGCTAACCGCAGCACTGCCGTCGGTCTATATTTAATTCCATTTGTCTGTGATTGGATGTATCAGATTACTGTTCAATTCTTTTTATTTTGGGTTTTCATATGGTATTTTTGCGGTTACATGTGTCATAGGTCAGCTGACATTCGATCCCTCTAAACTGGGGATGTGTACGACATTATTGTGTCACATGCTTGTGTGCTTGTGTGTTGTGTTCATAAGTTTGTTTTTACGAGGATGCGACAAATCCAGCATAAACCAACTCGTCGTGAGCTATCGATTTGTACGGACGTGATAACACAAACACTTGTGACATGAGTGATAACAAATGCGACCGTGTCAGTGACTGTACTGTATATCGCGGAATATTAGTACTACCACATTTACTTATTTGTGTCCAATTCATTCCTAACAACTGCAGATCACGATGGATTAAACACAATTCCTTGCCAAATAAAGCCCAGATCGACTAGACGGCTTTGAAGGGTCATTCATTATGACTTTGTTTATAGCTGAAACAAATTTAGTTCGTTTCCCAATGTTTTATTATGTATAGTAAAATTTCGATCATTTGGAAAGCAATCGTATTTTTTGTATAGTTTAAAATATAGAAATGCCATTCCGAATTTTAATAAACGGTTTGACTCCATAAGTTATTTACAATTTACCTTTTTGTATTGCGGTATTTCAAGTATCTTGTTCCGTCCTACAGTATATGTTTTATCATTGACTATATATACCTACTATACATACCTACCTGTAGGTATAGTCAATGGTTTTATCTATGGTCCTACGTAAGTTACAATTTACAACTGAGGAAATCGAAAATACGACGGAACCGATGAAATCGATGAATGATTTTACCATCAATATCCGGTATAGCAATTGAAATCCGTATTGAAGTATTGACATCCGGTTGTTCAGAGTTTTCATCCAGTTTGTAAAGTCATTGACTTTGGATACAATTGTAAACTTCTTGTCATATTGTCGAAGTCTGTTTTGATTTATGTTTGATGAACAACGTTTGAGTGCACTGATGTTAATTAAATGTGTTTCTATCATTTTATGGTGTGTGGCTCAGTTCTTTGATTGTACAGTAATTCTATAAACCAGCAATAGTATGAAAAAAGTTATTTTTGACTAACATAATTTTGAAGTTTATTTAATAAATAGAAAGATTAAATAAAAAATCGCTGTAAAATGTATGCACCTGTAGGAAACACAATTCAAAGTTGTTCTTAGCTGATCCTGAATGATAACGAATCTGGAAAGGAGTATGTTTAACCTACGGTACAATCCACTATTTGTACATATAAGAGTTGAATGTACTTTTACAGAAACTGTTGAAATGCTCACCCTATTATTTCACACTTAGATTAGGTGATACCATATACATCGATGGTGATATATTACGACCATATTTAACAAGATAACAATCTTTTTTAAATATTAAAAGTTACATCATGATTTCATCACGAGGCCTACAGACCTTGGTACTGTTGAAATATGGATCACATTATGATAGTAGGGCTCTACTTGCAGGGTCGTGTCTACTGTACGTTCTACGTTCAACCGTGAGCCGCTACTGTGTCGGTTAGTTCGGTTGGCGAGTCAGAACGTTATTTCCGAGTAGTGCTTGCCAATTGATGGTAAACAGCTGTGTGATTATATACAAATCTATGTACAAAGACTGGAATTGTGTTTTCGCGCCGCGTCTCTTCTATCCCAACACTTGACAGTGAATATATTGACAGTTTTTAGCTTCGAGTAATTTGTCACGATGATTGGAGGAGGTGAGTTGTGTTTTTAGTGTTTATATTTGTACTGTACGACCTTTATAGACTTATGTGTGATTCGATCCATGTGTGTAGCTTTTATTTATGTACGAATAATTTTCTTTCGTATTTTTAATAAAACACAGTGGTTCCATAAACCTTTGAAAATGCGATGATAGATTCTATCCAATCCAACTTAATCCCAGGGACATGAACTAAAAAATAATCAAACCGCTACAGTAACTAATGTAAACTTTGGTAATGAAGTTGAGATCGGGTAATGGTAAACCTCACTACTCAGGGCCAGTGAGCTATGTTGCCAATGTTCTCGGTACTGCATTGTTGATGGTGTGATTCTATTCTACACTGAAAGGCCAACAAGTGGCGGCAGCGTCGCAGTTACAGGCTATGACGTCGTTTTGTTACTCGCTTCGTGACGTCATGTCGTCAGCTGTTCTTGTACACGAGTTTACTTGTCGTCTGCTGCTAGAACAATGGCTTCACACTGTGTGTCATGTAAATGTTCCGTTTGATAGGCTTCTCACATTTACTAACTATGACGTCATGTCGTCAGCTGTTCTAGTACACTAGTTAACTTGTCGTCTGCTGCTAGAACAAGGGATTCACAGGTGTGTCATGTAAATGTTCTGTTTGATAGGCTTCTCACATTTACTAACTCTGACGTTATGTCGTCAGCTGTTCTAGTACACGAGTTTACTTGTCGTCTGCTGCTAGAACAATGGCTTCACAGCTGTGTCATGTATAAATGTTCCGTTTGATAGGTTTCTCACATTTCACGTTCAGTGCTGACTACATCAATTGATGTAGTACGTCACGAGCACCCATGGCGGACTACATCAAAAGCTGTAGTCACACCACTCCAACTATATTGGTTCATTGTTAGCTCAGACATAGACGGGGAACGTTGTATCGCGCGTCAGCCTTTTGTGCCAGTTCTCGAGTTTATTTTGGCGCGAATCGTTTTCAGCTCCGGGTTTTCACTTCGGCACGGGACCATGGTAATCTCGTACTTTTGTGTGGTGTGTGTAAATGCGGTGGGTGGAGTTGTAAATAGTTTTTGAATTTTTCTATAATTGTCTTCTCTATAAGAACAGTGTTTTTATAAATAACAATAACTCTTTCTTTGACATTGTGTGTAAACTAATGTTTTACATTGAGGATCGTTCTAAATGACACTTGGACAGATTGTATATAATTTTATGTAGTTATTATTCCAATAATTACCAACCTTTGTGTCAAGAAACAAGTTTGTGGATCGTTACACACAAATTTTACAGTAAACGGACCACTTCTTTTTCGCGGTGACTCAGCAAACCGGCTCCACCGGCGGACTACATCAATTGATGTACCGGAAGTGACGTCATCAATAATAACCAAAATGGAGGCCTGGGGATCTTCTAATGACATTTTGGATGCATTCACATCATTTACTTGGGGAGTTATCGATAATTATATTTCAGCACTTTAGGCACGCAATACTAACCCATTTCAGCACTGAACGTGTTTTAACACGACCTACACACGACGATTTATTAACACGAGGACGTCATGTCGTCCTCTGTAGAACTGGCTGTTTCTACGGTGATATTGAATTTTAGGACGATGGGGACGATCTGAATCTGAAATACTGCAGCAAACCAACTTATTTAACAATTAAGCCCTACTGTAGAAGTTTCCTTTAATTTAGAATCTATTATGGGTGAAAATAATGAATGAAATGGAAATTATTTTGGGATGCAGGTTTTCTGTAACATGAGATTTTAATTTGTTAATCGACAGGCAAATAAAATTTGAACGCGATTCCCAGTTTTTTTCGTCAAGAAATTTTCTAAGAACGCTGTTCTAATATTTCGAAATCGGATTATGTGTTTACATGGCGTCAGACAAGGCGATAATTCTGTTAAGGGAAGCCAGACAAGACGCCATCTTTTCCTGACTTTTCTACTCCACCAAGGTTGTACAGAATACATCTTATAAATTCTTTTAATTTGTTTGTGTTTCTTTGGTCGAGTTTTATTAAACATGCTTAGCAGTGAAGAATATTGCTAATATAAGAACAAGATTGATATTTTTAACACCAGTTATATCGCCAACTAAACTAATTTCATTTAAAACCATTCTAAATAATAGAATCAAGAAGCGCTGTCCGTTTGTTGTCAGACTATAAATTATGTCTTCCCGTCGCATGTTCGTGTACAACATGCAAATAGTTTTCAGTTTAGTAACTTTCCAGTCATTTGGATTATTTACCTCCTCGATTTAATAAGACCCTGAAGCAATTTTGTTTGATTTAATTTCCATTGTTTTAATACACTGTTGGCGAATTCGTACTTTATAGTTATGACTTTTATTTATTTGTAAGACGCTATTAAATAAGTGTGTTTAATGTTTACCCTCAAACACTTCGCAAGGAATCTTCGTTGATATTTCTTCAATTAGGTTACAAACTCGAACACGCATAATGTTGCTTGTACTTTGAACGCTGTACCTCTCTTTCTCCTGCCGTAACCTTGGATAAGTTATTTAATGAAACAAGTACAAAACCGAGATAAATAACAGGTATCAAGTGACAGTGCTGTCAACACTTTTTCGGTTGTTTAAGTTAAAACTATCTCTTGTTTGCTTAGAAGATAGTGGGCGGAATGTATATTTACAACCAGTAGTAACCAGTTATGATGCACCGCATTATCAACTCAAGAGTAGTTTACTGTATTGTTATCATATCGACAGCTGTAGCAACGACTACTGAGGAACATCTTTGGGAAATTTAAACTTCCGCGAGTTGTGTACGACTCACTGATGATAGTTGTATAGCCACCGTCATAAGAGCGAATTGCCGAACTATAAGGGTTGGATTTGCAAGGTTGTAAACTCAGTGAACTGCCGCGAGCGTTCTGCCAGGTAGTGAAGGATAAACGAGAATTTATTTGTCCTTCGAAAACATAGAATAACTTACTATAAATAGGATTCCGGTGCTATTTACGAATGAAACGTAATATAAATGTCATTTAACAGAGCAAATTTTGGGGAGATTCTCCATTTGCTTTCAATTTTCTAACAATAACCGTGGCTACGCTTATCTTGTTTGTGTCGTAAAACTCGTGGCACTACAAATCCAGCCATATCTTTACACCGTTGAAGAGGCCCACCCAAAATACATGATACTCGAATAGCAGTTGACGGGGTCAGGGTGGATTCTTGCCCACCGAAATCGAAATCTGAACTATTTTAGCTAGTCGTGTCCATAAGACGTGAGGAATATTTTAAATATGCATACATTTAAGAGCTAAATTAAAAATAAATTTCAAATGGATTTTATAAGTTAGTTTTCTAAAATGTAGTGTATTGCTACCCACCTGTGCCTCATCTATCACTTCTTGTAAGCAGTACAGCACAAAATTTACGCTGTTGACAACCCTATGAACGTTCACTTATCTTTGTTTTTATTTCAATGGTAACCCTCAATCAAGTCTCGTGACTGATATATCACTTGCTGTCCCAAACTTATGCCAAGTTCCTGATGCTCCGACCGCTTATTTCGGGCCTTGCCACGTCACCATGACAGGCTGCAGGTTGCAGCTTTTCCTCTGACGAAGTTGCAGCTACTGTTATTTTACAGAATGCAATAGCTACTAGCGCATATACGAAACCCCGAGTGTTAGTTGCAGCTTTTTGCGATGCTATTAAAGTTATTGTTACGCTGTGGCAGTTTTTGGACCTTAGCACGTTTACTAATCTGCACCAAGTTGTAAGAGTTACATGTCTTCTGCGTCGACGAATTTGCAGTTGTAGTAGTTATTTTAGATGTTGGAACTGGAACTGCATCAAATGTCTAGTAGCAGTTCTTCTACGTCGCAAGTTGTACAACACGTTGCAGAATTGATTAGTAATTATAGCATTGACGTTCCGTTTGGATTCATCTGTGTCTTTAAAATGTTTCATTCTGGACAGAGGGAGTACTTTTGCAATTTAATAGTTGTTTTATGTAAAGCAGAGTGCATTAGTGCATTACAGTTGTCGTGAGCAATTGCCAATTGAACTATGTGTGATATTGAACTCTATTAATCAAAATCTTATCGGAACTTTTCTGTTCCCCCCGAACATTGAAGTAAAGGAATGATAAGAGAAAGGGTTACCGAGTGAGAGAGAGATTGGAGGAGATGACAAACTAACAAGATTATCTTCCAGCTGCGTCTGAGAAGGTTGTGGTTTTACCCTACTTGGCTAAAAGTACTGGGTGTTTATCACCTTGTACTTGTTTCTGAAAATAAGTTAAACCAAATTCGAGCAATTGCCAAGTATTATATGCGTTATTTTAAAACTAATAACAGTCATAATTTCCGATGACTTAGAGTCGACTCAAAGATTATGGAAATACTTACGATGTACATAACAGCTCGATATAATCAACATTTCTTGTAAATATCTTATCATTTTGCAAAAGCTGATCTTGATTTTAGTGTTCTACAAATGTTTCCCACTTGTAGCCTTATTAGATTTTCCATAATAACGATTCAAAATAAAATAAAAAAAATTATTTCTATTTCTTCTACTTGGTTGTGTTCTACGACTTTCCTATGTTTCCAAAGTGTAATGGATAACAGTTTTCTTTTTAGTATATCAGTTTGTCCAGGCTTTCTCGCTTTTTACCCATTGTAATATTTACGCCAACCCAAATTCAAATAGTAAATATTTCATTTCAACCAAGTCAGTAAAAATGTTTACCTAACCCGCCATGTTAAACTTCCCTATCCCAAGCGTGATGTACAACTTCGTTATTTCTCGAGTGATGTAAAGTTGAAAAAACACACTCGGTGAGGTAATGAAACCCATTTAAATAACATTGAGTGCTTAACTTAAAAAATATACCTCTATGGAGCCAACGACGTTCAACGCTAGAAATAAGCTGTGCGCTTGAATTTTATTGTTATGTTTTGAAGAATTTTCCTAACCTAGCTTTTGTTTGTAAATGAACATTACTGTTAGAAGATGAGTGA